AGATTGCACTAATTCCTGTTAACGAGGATCAGTAATTATCGGTGCGACGGTCACACTGTAAATCGATAGGAGCATCAGAATTAATATGAAACCTTTGCAATTAGAAGCCGCCTAGTTTTCTATCATTCACGTTCAGATTTTGCATGCATGATTGAACAGCATCACCCCAGGACCAAAAGATGAGATCGATACTTGATTTGCATTCTATGGATGAATCTAATTATTATTCCGTTGTGGAAATGCGCGATATAAATATACCAGTGTATAAATATTTAAACACATGCAATTCCTAGAAATACACATTTGCCAACAAATAATTCGTTAATGTGTTAGAATGCGTAGATCCGGATTACCGTAAATACCTAATGCAGATAATTCATGAGCAACAATTATTATAATAATTTTAACACCGTTTGCATATAATTATTCAATTTTAGTTTAATATGTGAGAATTATTGATTAAAACACACACAAAATACGTTATAAAAGTGTGCCAATCAAATAAGAAATAAAGTATTAAATTAAAATGCGGACTGTTTGAAACCGGACTAATCGAATTATGGAATATAGCCAAATGTTGATAATTTATTATTAAAGCCTCAGGTTCATCCTTCTCACTAAAAAAATTTACTTATTGCTTAGTTTATTTTATGTTACGTATATTTTATATAACAGATACCAAATTTTATTTTGAGTAGTTTTAATTCAAATTCAATTAAATATTTATTTTTACTTTAAGTTTTTAAAACTAAACTTCACTACAGTTAGAAATTTACAAAAAAAACAATATCAGATAAGTAGGGGGTCTACCCAAAACAGAAAAACATGGCAAGTGGTCTACGATACAAAAAAGTTTGGGAACTTCTGGTCTAAATATACCACTCGCGGTCAAATGACCGTTTCATTTAGAATTTCTTGTATAAAATTTGTAAAAATACGCTGAAAATGCCTAAAATGTAGATAAAACGTTTCTAACCAGGATAATCCAGGTCATGAGTCGCCCACATTATCTACGCAGGGCACCTCTAAATCAATTGCTTTGAATGGATAGCAGCCTCCGTGTCTTACATTCCAATATAAATTCCTTTCACCCTAAATCCTATATAATTAAAAAATAACATTTCCTGTTCCCAGTTTTTCGAAACCATTGTTAACTCCAGTCTTCTCTCCTTAATTTTCCAAAATCCGGATCCGTCTCCAGAAATCATCTCCGAATTCCATTCACTTATGTCCTCTACGGTTATTCACAGCTCCCCCAATATCAAAATAACACCCTACATCTACTCCTTTCCACCCTTCATTCTTTGATAATTAAAAAAGAAACTACAACTCTATATATATATTTTTTTTTTCCCTTATTATTCTGTTGTTCATTGTATATTATTATTATAATACTGATATTATTTCATAATAAAGTTTATGTTCCCGGGCGGAAAGACCTCGGTCAATAGCCCTTTGGCCAGCCTATTAGTATATATATTTTTATTGTATGTTAAAATTTATTTATGTATAAATTGTACTTTTTTTTTCTCTTCTTCTTATGTATCGATGTTTGGCCAATAAATTATTATAATTATTACGTTTCTAAATAAAAGAAAATATTTTATTCACTATCCAATTTACCAACAAACAATTTGTTACAGTGTTAAAATGCATAGATGATTTTGTGTGTGTTTATACCCAAATCCGGATTACAGTAATTATCTAATGCAGATATTTCATGAATAACAATTATTATAATAATTTAAACTCTGTTTGCATAGTATTCATTATTCAATTTTAGTTTAATATAAGAGAATTATCGAATAAAACACAATAATACGTTATATATAAACTCATGTTTGGTTAATGCAATAAGAAATATTACATTTCTAAATTAAAGTGCGAACCAGACTAATCGAGGCTCTAAATACAGTTATAGTTCGTGCAATAGTTTCTGCTAATATTCTGCACTATTTGAAACCGGACTAATCAAGGTCTTAACAATATAAAACTTACCACTCGTATGACCATTTTAGAATTTTTGTATAAAATGTAATTTGTAAATATGTGCTGAAAACGCCTAAAATGTACATAAAACGTTTCTATATAACGTTTCTTAATAAAAGAAAATATTTTGGTCATTATCCAATTGGTTAAAATCTTAATCTAGATTAAGAAACTTCACTGTAAGATGATGATCATCGAATGCGAACTAATTCTTATAAAGAGACTTGAAAAAAATATATATAGAAATAATTTTGTGTCAATTATATTCAGAACAAGTAGAAAATCTAAATTTGAAATTTTCAAATCGGACTGATTGAAGTCGTTCTATGGAAGGTAATTAATAAAAAAAAATATACAATGATGTTGTGTACATACGAAATGTTTACGATTACGATTATGTTTGTAATTTTGTTAAATTTATTTTTAATTTTCTTAATTATTGTTATGTTCAAAACTAGTAAAAAAAATGGAATTTTCTTACCGGACTGATTGACGCCGCACTATGAAAGGTATTTTTACACCACATGGTAATTAATCAAAAAAATATATACAATGATGTTATGTACATACGAAATTTTGTATGCTAATTTTGTTAAATTTATTTTTATTTTACTCAATTATTGTTATATTCAGAACTATGAGAAAATGGAAATTTTAATTTTTCTTACCGAACTGATTGAAGCCGCACTATAAGAGGTATTATTACACTGCATGGAAATAAATCAAAATATATATACAATAATGTTTAATGCATAATAATTATTATAATTATGTAATAACCGTTTGTACGCAATTAATTGCTCAATTAAGTTTAATATGCAAGTTTATGAAACATATCAAATAATATCTATATGTGTAGTACTAAACACATATTGATTTTTTCCCGGGAAAACAGAAATAGAAATCTTAAAAATTCCCGGGAATAATCTTCTAGCATAAAAACTGTTAGATATATTTACTTATATTATTGCTATTTCAACAGAAACGTTTAATTTTATGAATTTCAACCATCAAATTAAATACAATTTCGTAAATTAATTTTTAAATGTAATTATTTTCATAAAAGCAGAACAATTATAATAATAAACGATTATTATTTTGTTAGAAATATCAATGATTAATGAAAAGTATGACAAGTCAAGTTTATTTTAAACGCGAATTAATTAACAAATGGTAATGATAACGTTAAATTTTATTTGTAAGTAAAAACAGCGAACTTTGACATAAACAAAAGGGTTTTTTAATGTTTAATTAAATGTATGTTAAATGCGAATCAATAGTTTAATTAACAAATGTAAATGAAAACATAAAAATTTGTTTGTAGAATTGTACATATTTGAAAAAAA